TTATTTGTTCTTGATTTGACTTTTATTTATTGGTTGCATCTTATCAAGCTAATTTATTCACAAGTTATTCTTTTTCTTAGGTATTAGAAATTTACAATTTAAGTATCCATATTTACATTTTATCATTCTTTTTTATCAATAATTGTAATCCCCCGTATTTTTAAATATTTTATAAATGAAAATTTATTTTATTTATAAAATTTATTTGTTATTTTTCATAATTTAATTTCAAAAGTTTCAAATTATTAATCTGGGTCGAAAATCATTTGAACAAATTATTTTGTGCACCTTTATTCTACAATTTATGTCCAATCACACAAGCTTAACCCATTTGTTTACTTAATCGACCCATTATCTTTATGAGGCCCAATCTTTCTTTTTACCCTACAATAATTCTCTTCTATAAATACCCCATTGTAGGGAATAATTTCAAGCCTTAAATCTCACTAGCTCGAACTCCACTGTGATCATACACTAAAGTACGGTGGCGTCCAAAAGGGAAGAAGATAGAGCAAAAGAGTCATCAACAAGTTTTTTAGGAACTTGTAAACCGTTCACGAGGTGAAGGTTACACCCCTTAACTATCCAAGAGATCGTCAACTCCATAAGGTCATGAACCAAATAAGGGTTCGGGGATGAAGGTACAAATCCAACCTAAAAGAGATTGAACCTGCCCTAATAATAGGCCTCTACTTTATTCTGATCGTATTCATGTGCGCTTTTTAATTAACATGCAATCAATAGATTAACCCTAAACCTGTTTAATCTATGTTGGTTGAATATAATGCACAAATAAACTATTATTGGCGATCACTTGAATTTATAATCATATTAACCCTAACAAGATTATTAAATTATCTTATTAAGCATGATTACAAGTACAAATTCCCTTTAAACATGCAATAAAAGGTGTGATCAAGCAATAACAAAATAAAATATAATATATATCATGCAACAATAATAAATAATCAATATCATGAATAATAATTAATAATCATATCACAATAATAATCATAATCATCATAAATAAAATAATCATCATCAAAATAATAATAAATTATAACAATTATAATCATAATCATGTTCATGTTAATATTAAAGCATAATAATAATAGCAAGATCTTAGGCATGATACTAACAAGATTAATAACAAACCCTAGCATGTCACTAAGCAATAAAAATCAAATCTTTAACCCTAACATGATACTAGCAATCATAAATATTAGGAAGAATATAGGAAGCATCACAACAATCATATTAAATGTTAAAATTACCCTAGACATGATACTAGGAATATCATAATAACAATATAAACATGATCTCTACATCATCACAACAATTAAAACACTTACTTTGATGCCTCGTACCTCTTTCTAATAACAAAATACACACGTTAGTAACTTCAAGGAAAAATAATAATCAAACAATTAAATCAAATAATTGAAAGAGAGATTTGGGACCAAACCCTCGTAAATTAAACCTTTCACGTCTAGGGCGAAGGCAACTTCAAATATGGCTAGGTGTTTCTCGATCTTGTGAATGCGGAATTTTGTATGAAAACAAGTAAGAAAGAATTGAATGAATTAAAGAATGCTAATTTAAACTTGTGAATGAGGAGAATTGGTGAATGATAGATGTCGATGATGAATGATGAATGTTGGTGCCTGAAAACAGAGTTTTTAATACGATATTCATAGAGAAAATCAGCCAAAAAAGATAATTTAACAAAACAGAGTCTGACGCTCAGGAAACAAGGTTGGCGCCAACCCTGGCTAGCTGGCGCCGGGCACCAATGGCTAGCGCCTGGCGCCAAGGCCTGGGATTGGACGCCAGTCTTGATTTTAACGCGTTTTCGAAAATCCGATAAGTTTACCGTACTGGAGGATAAAATAATATAATTTCCTCGAAAATGCTATTTGATTTTGATTAAAACTCTGAAAAGTCAACGAAGTCAACTTATCAATGCTAATTGAATTAGGAATGAAAAGAACCTTCTAGAAGACTAAAACCATTCATAATTGCATTAGAAATGATAAATCATATTAGGCCCTCCCCTAGATCATTAGGCCGCAAATAAAGTTCAAATCGGGCCCAGTTTAGTAAATTGGCCATAACTTCCTCAATATTCATCGAAATTGGGCTTATAATATATCGTTGAAAAGGTCTTTGCAAGCCCCATCCAACTACACTAATATTGGACCCATATTATGGACCAACCAAACTGGATTGGTTGTTTTCTTAAAATAAGTTTTCAAAAACAGAGAGAAGAGAAAAGAAATAAAACTTTCCGCAACACTAGACCTTTCCACACTTTCGTTTCATTCGATTATGATTCGACGTGAAAGGTACTCATCACCGGATTTGGTTTTGGGGAGACACAAATGGGTGTCTACACCCATGAATCTCCAAAAATTTCCCACACAAAAAAGGTTAGTCTTATTTTCATCCTCTTTTGTTTCATTATTTTGCTTAATGTTAATTTAATTGTTTTGGGTTTTGATTTTAGTATAAAGATTATATTTTTAGTATCAAATTATATTTTAATGGTATAAAGATTATAAATTTCAGATTATATTTATGTTATAAATTTCATATTTTATGAATTATAAACCTAGGGTTTCAATTTATTGAAAATCATGATTTTAGGGTTTTTATGAACAATTGATTTAGGGCTTTTATAGTAATGATGCTTTGAAATTTTGGTGAGTATAACTACTGATTAGTTTAACTTAATTCCAGACTATTTTGAACACATAGATTCGTGTTTTAATTTTTAGATTTTCGTTCGTTAATATTAATCCCGTTTTAATCCCGATCAGATTCTGAACTCATCCGATATTGATGAAAAAGTAGTGTTTTCCAAATTCAGCCTCTAAATATGATTTTCGGGCAGTTTTTGATTTTAACGAAGTTTTTTTATACTTAAAATATTATCCTTGAGTTTGATTAATAAAATTAATTATGTTTAAAGTTAATTAAGCATAAATATATGTTTTTATTGAAGTTTTAAGTGTTGGAAATAGTTTCTAAGTACTACTTTTGATGTTTTATAAAGAGGGTTTAATCACCTATTAAAAAGGGAGATTTTTAGGGGTTTTTATATAATTTTCAGATTTTTATTAGACTTTGAACTTGCTGTAATTTCATGTATAAGAGTGTATTTTAAGGTTTTTATGAAGAAAATTTAAAGAACTATATATAAGCCTTTAATTTTAACTAAAGGGAAGGTTTTAAAGTGTTGTTTGATTTGGATTTTGAAGGTTTTAAAGTAAGTTAGTATTGCTGTAAATTTGATTGATTGGGTATTGATTGAGATGTTATTATTTGGCTTAGGAGAGGAGTTTATTGAAGGTGATTTCTAGTTAGTAAAGTGGCATACCAATTCGTTTGCTCAAGGTACGTACAAGTTACGAAACCATTCTTTTAGGTGCATGTTTAAGGACGACGGATCGAGAACTTAGTATCATGTATAGGGATGACTGAGTTAAATTGTTTGGTTATACATTGTGAATTTCGTATGACGTGCACTATTTTATATTGCAAGTATTATTTGTGCTCTAACTATGCAAGGTGCGCTTAGAGGCAAAGGTATATGATTGGTGTAATGATTAATTTATTACTCATTCATGATTATGCAAGCAGGATGAGTAAAGGAAGAATTTAAGTCTTCTAAGACGAGGTTAAGGTTTTGGGGTGCCTTATGCACTCATGTTTATACACCGAGGTAGTAAAGGAATAAATAATAAATGTTGCTTGCCACTAATAAATCAAGAATTGAAATTGAAAAGTTGTTTTACTTAGTCATCACCAAGTCTAAACCTGTAAATCACGTAAAGTACAAGATGGATGAGCAATAAAACTCTGGATTGGTGCACTTTTGGAGTAATGACAATCAGGGGTAGGGGTACATGGGGTATTAGCCGTGTACTTTTCTCGAGGTCGTCTGATATACGAGTCTCTTATTTCAAATATTTTTCAATACTAGGAGTTAGGTGAGATCTCATACTAACTATGGTCACGGAGTCGCGCCCGTGGTCGTTTGATGTTTATTGATGTTTCCGAAAGGAGGCATGGGGTTTTTCTTTTATTGATGTTCCAAATGGAGCATGGGTTGGACAACCTTGTCTATTGCGTAATCCAATGAATAAAAATAATGATTTACCTATTATTAATTAATGGAGTCTTAGTAATATAAATAGTTGAGTCGTGTGTTGAGTCTATAATTTAATGATGCATGATGATTGATTATTAGTAGCATGTTATGGATTTCTTAATTTATTTTGCAGCTTGTATGTACTCAGCTTTGCTGATTGCGTGCTTTGTGTGTCTTTCTTTGGTCATGGCCTTCGCCTTTCAATGACCCTGTGACGTTCCAATTTTTACACTTGTAATATTGGGGAGCAGAATTACCACAGATTCTTACACATGCAACATTCATCAGGGTTGTGTGATATTGAGTAGAGAGTTGGTTGTTTGCACTTTATTTCTTTTGCAAGTTTGAATTTATTTTAATTCGATTTTATTCGACACTATTTCTTTTGGGTTTGAATTTATTTGAACACTGAATTTAATCACTTACTACTTTTATTGGGTTTTGAATAAGGGCCTTAATGGTTCCAAGTTGTATGACTTAATTTGGTTTCATTCGTTGGTTTTGAAACTTATTTATAACTGATTTAGTTTTTCCGCTGCTATTTTCTGATAAAACCTTAACGTTTGAACACGTGGCGGTAGCACACCAGTAATTCTCTTGATTATTGTTCAGGGTCCTCACAAATTTAAAGAGAGAATTATTTGGGTGTTACAATAATTTTCTTACGCAGTATTACACTCCTCAATTATGATAAGTCGATGACATAACACTACTTACACAAGTGCATTATAAACCGGCTTTTGATTTTCCTATTATGTTCCACACAAGTGCGCTCTAATTGACAAACAACTTTTTTTTTTTTTTTTTTTTTTTTTTTTTTTTTTTTAAACCTCATGTTGTAATCATGTCCATTTGATTTTTTATTTTTTATTACATAATCACTCTCTTTCTCTTTAATCACTCGACGACGAAATTTCTCACAAAGTCTACTCAATTGCCCACCCAACAACTTTCTTCCTCCAGTCAATCTCTCTCCTACCCAGTTTCCATTTCATTGATTTCTCTTCAACTCACAAAAGATCTGCAATTTTAGTCAACGGGTTGTCAATTTTACTTCGATTTTTTCTGAATGAAAACACAAATTTATACTCAGCTTCTGTATTGAATTTGATCGTTCCGGGTTAATTCATAGTCATGCAGTCTGGTAAGCATTCTGCTATCTTCAATTTATTCACATTTCTCATAATAATTATGTAATTTGTGCGAATTGCATGTTTTTTCTATATGTTGTTGCTCTAATTATTGATTGTAATTGTGAATTTGTGTGAATATTATGTAATTAGAGATTTAAAATTTGAATTTTTCGTGTAAAGTTACAATCTCTGGGTGTAATTTTGTTTATTTATGGGTGAAAACATAAAAAATTCCCCAAATTATAGTGTTTTAACCCAAAAATACACTTGTACTTCGTATATTTTAGGAATACAGAATAACATGCTCAAAAAAGGATTGGGGTTTTGAATTATTTATTATTCCTATTGGAAGCCGTACTTCAATTTTGTGAAATTTGATCTTTAAAAGTAAAGTGTTGTAACTCTTTTGAAGCAAAGGAGATATATTAATGTAAATAGTTAATGGTGACATTTTGGAAAATATTTGATGTGGGTAGATTGATTGTGCACGATGATTGTAATAGTATTTTGATTTCCGAAGGTCAAACTGGCTGTTAGTTTACAATTCCTAGAGAGAGCAATTGCTTGGTTGACCGTAGGAATCTGAAATTCCCATGGGGATTTCTAGTTACTGCATGGGGGAGGGGGGTGGGGGGTGTGGGGTTTGATAGGGGGAGGGTAAGCAACTTTCTCCTTTTTTGGCAAGTAAAACTTTCTACTGGACTTTTTATGCTTATGTCTACTAAACAAATCTTGAGTAGTATTATTTCTACTTCCCATGTATTTGGATGTCGACCCAACAATTTTTGATAGTCTAAGTGAAATTGAAAACAATTTGGTCATAACTTGTTGAGATGTTCAAAGCAGTAAAGCACATCTTTGCCTTATTTTAAATTGAATAGTGAAGCCTTTTCTTAAATATTCATAACCTTATGTTCGTTGTTCAAAGAGTCCTGTAATTGTCAATATGGGTCTTATGGGTACATATTTTTCCAAATAATGTGAAAAGATAATGTAGGTCAAAGATGTGTCTCAAAGGCTTACATGTGTCAATTGGGAGTCATTTAGTTGACATACTGTGACATATAAACTTGTACATCTTTAGAAGTAGAAATTTGAAACTGTTTAGTTGACAGGACAAGGTTTAGCTATTTACCTAGCCCGTTCGAGTAAGTGGAGCTTCATGCTAGTTAACTTACCAGATTTAGGCACTACTTTGTGGGGCTTACAATGTCTAATATTTTTGGGAAGTGACCTGTATGTTTCCTCTTTACATGGGACATATAGGTGCAAAGTTCAATTTAAACAAATATTCTTATATTTTTGGGGCATTTGCTATAGTTTCAGCATAACAGCAAATCCATGGCGAATTTGTCAATGTATTTGCCCATCTTTTTCATCCTAGACAGCATTCACTTATTGCAAGTGGGAAAGAAGTGGATTTTTGAGCAGCGCTTCTCAAAGCCAAGTATCTTTTATAATTTGGGATGCTTAGTAAGGATTTTTCACTTTGTTTGAAAATAGTAATTTGAAGGAGACCTAGAGTAACAATTAGCTGTACTTTACCCTTGTCTAATGGTCCGGAGTACATCTTTGAAAGCTTTGGCATAGAGAAAATATGAGAGGCAACTGTACCAGATGTTTATTTGTTCAAAAATAAGTAGTGATTTTCTTCCCTTTTCCAAATTAGGCTAACGACTTTCGGATGAATCTCCTGAAACATTTGGCATTAGATATTATTGTTTGGACTATGGAATTTTGTTGGTCATTTAGATATCAAGCAATCAACGTAACCGCAGCTGTTCTGATTGGATGTTGAATGAGCTACTGGTGGACACTAATATGTCTTGTTTGTACTTTCAGGATTTGATATAAAAGAACTACTACAAGCAGCTCAGACACGTTGGCTAAAACCTGCGGAAGTGCTGTTCATTTTACAGAATCATGAAAACTACAAGATAACTGAGGAAGCTCCTCAAAAGCCATCTAGTAAGCTTTACTGTAACTGTATCAGTGCATTTTTTTAATTGTTTGACCTGACTGTACTGATGTTAATTTGGACAGGTGGTTCTTTATTTCTTTTCAACAAGAGGGTTCTTAGGTTTTTTCGGAAAGATGGCCATAATTGGCGAAAGAAGAAGGATGGCAGAACTGTTGGGGAAGCACATGAGCGTCTCAAGGTTTGCTTCGGTTGGTTGTGAATTTTTTTTTTTTTTTTTGTTGTTGTTGTTGTTGTTGATGAAACTAGTGGCTGTGACACTGTGTACCTTTTCTTCATCTGGAAATTATGCTCAAAGCCTCAAAGATTTTTGTTGAATCACTGAATTATATGGAGAATGAGCAACCTCCTCATGTAGGTTAAGCAAGAATCAACTGCTACATGCAGAGATCATATGATGGGTTTGAGTCTTTGAGAGGTAATCAGAGAGGCTATGTTTTTCTCCCGATGGCTTTTTTATCGAGCGAATAAAAAAAAGTTGCTTCAATAAAAAATCCTTACACTCTCTGTCCCCAAATTAAAGTCCCTTTTGCCTTTTTCACATATTTATAAGAAGGTGAATAGAATAGTAAGATAGTGGGCTTTGGTTGATTAAAGGTGAATGAAATTAACAAGATTGTGGGATTTGATTGATTAAATAGAGCGTATAAAATATGATAGTGGGGTTTGGTTGATTAAAAGGAGGGTAAACAAAACAAGGGCTAATGATGTTGAGCCTTGGGTTACCATCCCCCTAGACTTTAATTAAGCTGGTTATCATCCACTATTATTGTAGACTGTAGTATATGTTTTTGAGCATGTGCTTAGTTTCAAGATGCATGCTGTCTCTGTTCCGGCTATTAGAGGCTTAAATGTCATTTATTTGGCCAGGTTGGAAATTCTGAAGCTTTAAATTGCTACTATGCACATGGGGAGGATAATCCGAAATTTCAACGGCGAAGTTATTGGATGTTGGACCGGTGAGTTCACTTGATTCCTCTGCTGTCCTGATCTCTTTTCCATGCATGCACTGCAGTTTTCATTTCAAAAATAGAGCCAACCATCTCGCTTTGGCATCTGTTTGGTTCACCTAGAAATAAATTTACCAATTATTCCGGGGAAGCCCCTCAAGGAATTATGTCCAATTCGGCCATTCCTTGTATAATGGGCACATTAGGTTGAATCACCTAAGTGGACCAATAAATTCGGCAGATATGTTCTGATAATTTGCTGTATCAAATAAGTGACATATATTAACAAATGTTTTTTTCCCATTGTAAAATAGTTATCCACTGGTGACAGTGATACTGCTAGTTAAGGATAGGATGTACATGCTTAAGTACTCGCATAGTCTAATAGTATATGCTCTTTTTTGTAGGGAGTATGAGCACATTGTTCTTGTTCATTACAGAGAGATCACAGAGGTAAGTCAAGGAGCATGATGTACTCAATTCAATTTTATCCTAACTATTGCCAATGTCAGTTCTTGATTCTTTCTAGGCACCAGTCCAACGACCTGCTCATGATGTGTTTAGATTCTCCATAAATTTTAACATTTGAATGTTTTTAACCAATCATAGCCCATTTTCCTGACTGTTTATATTTTTTGTTGTTTGAACTTGAGAAGTTTTATTAAATCTTTGATGAGTCTGACATCTTGGCACAGTGGGATTTTGAAAACTTCCAAGGCCTCATATGCTAAATGGCTTTTCCTTATTTGCTTCTGATGGCTTTCCCAAATTTGTACTATGCTCTGGGTTTGACAGTTGTGTCCAGAATCAAGATGGAACTTTCTTGCATTGAGTTTTTTCATGGCTTTGGTGGATAAATAATATATATCATTAAATCTATTTTAATTAATCAATCAATCAATCAAAGCCTTAGTCCCGTAATTGGGGTCAGCTACATGAACCAAATTTGATTATTTCATGTAGTCATCGACAAAAATCTTCCTCCTCCATCCCTTACAATCCAATGCTTCATCCTCACGCAAATCCATATACTTCATATCCTTTCTAACTCTTTCCAACCAAGTCATTTTCGGTCTCCCTCTCCCTCGTTTAACCCCTCCATGGTTCCACTCTTCCACTCTTCGTACTGGTGCACCCTCGGGTCTCCGTTTTACATGCCCAAACCAGCTCAGGCAATTTTCCCTTAGTTTGTCTGCAATGCCTACTTTCTTGCGAATAACCTCATTTATTATTCTATCTCTTAGAGTGTTCCTGCACATCCGCCTTAACATGCGCATTTCCGTAACCTCCATCTTTTAATGTGCTCCTTAGATTCCCAACATTCTACTTTAATGCCTTTTTTTTTTTTTTTCAAAGTTATCATCAGAAAAGCCATTTTGACATATACAATGAACATAATTCATAAAAGAAAGTAAATTTAAACTACTAACATAAACATTACATCGACAACATGCTAATAAATGTTCATACTCTAGCACAGCTATATGCCCATGGGTTCTGTCTTCCCATAAAACACTTTGCATAGATACATCCTTTATAAGTAAAAGACCTCACAATACATGCAATGGTTGTTTAAAATGAGATATTTATATCATAGATTAATCATATATCATACCCTTTACAAATTAAATTTCTGGAAAATTTTCATTTCAAAACAATAAGAGGAGCAAAGAAAACTCTAATCACTAGTGAGACCTAACAACACTAAAGAGAAGAGATACCTCTCACAAATGGGGAGACCATCTATATTATTTATATGAACTAAACCTAAATATAGAAAATATTATTGAAACCAAATACAAAAATGGGCTTATCACCCAATAACATCTGAGGGATGCCTGAACATATAACTGTACGTGAGGTAAGACACAGTAAACGAAGGCTCTTTTTCTATCTTTCTTTTGGTACTTTAATATTCCCTCTGTTTCAATTTTGATATTCCTAGCTGGAATCAAGGTAGAAACGAATGCAATGCCATGTGCTACTCCATTTCTAAGAATCTTACAAGTATTCTCTTTGTTAGAATCTTATAAGAAGTAATTTAAGTTACCTCATGTGCTACTTTCTTTTCTAGAAAAGGATGTAGTGGCTTCATGAGTGGAACATATTGGGATACATTGTGGAATAAAATAAATCTATGAAGAAGAGTTTGAGAATATAAATTTATCATCAATATGAAACGGAGGAAAACTTATTTAAGAACTTGGTTTAATTCAATAAATTTGCATAGGTATTGTATGAAGACATTTGATATTGCATTGATGGTTGAAAAGTAGTATAATTCTACGTAGATATTAATATATTATAGTTTACCTTTTTTTTTTTTGAAACAAATCAATTCATTAATAAAAAGCTATCCGGCATATACAAATGAAATCTAAATTAACAAATACATAAAATTGAATCAAATTAGGTTTTCCTTCATCATAGCTACGATCGTTGAAAAGATTTTGCACTGTGGTACATCTCTCGCACACATCGCTGGAATATACAGCCTTTTCGGAGAGACGATCTAACGATTTGTTGTAGCCGTAAGGATGATATTCTTATCTGATTCGCCTGAATGCATTTAAAAATTTGACAACCGTTGCGATCCCGAACAAATCTTTACCAAAGAACTGACAATAGGGCAAAAGATGATTCCTTTTTTAATGAACCCTAATACACAAACAAACCCTAAACAAAAACAAACAACTAAACTAACGAAAACTAACGACTCCACCATAGGGAGACGGACGAATATCTACACTACTTGTGTAGATTTATTGAAATTCAAATTGCAAAACTAAATAAAATTAAAGGAAAAGGGTCGGAGATAGTCTAATTTCCAAAGAAATTAGACTATTTCCGGCCTAAACGGCCAAGATTTTGGAGAAACCCTAGAAGAGAGGAGGAGAGGAGAGGAGAGGAGAGGAGAGGAGAGGAGAGAAAAATAAAATATTTGCCTAAGTGACATTATATTATAGTTTACTTGTAACATACTAACATTTAACAATGATATATTATTGGATAATATGAAATTGGTGTACGTACACTTTGGATTAAAGGGAGGATTCAGATTTCTTTTTGCTTCTTAAGGATCTGATGCCCCCAAACCCTAGTATTGATAAATCCAGACCCCTCTAATTGTCTGCCGGCTGAAATATCAAACAATAGCTGTAGCCTTTAGGCCATGGCTTGGGCATGGATACATGCTCTCATTTAAAACTTCCTTTTTTTTTTGTTGTGAAAAAAGTTAAAGCTACTTTATACAAGTCCTTTCATTTATATGCTGCAGGGGAAGCTTAGTTCTGGATCTGTCGCAGACTTGTCACCGGGAACATCTTCGACATACCAGAGCCCCAGCGCATACACTATGCAAAACCCAGGATCGTCTTGTTTGAGTGACTTTCATGGATCATACCAGAGTCACGCGAGCCCTGGATCCATAGAAGTCAGTTCAGATGCAGCTGCGAGGAAAGGACTTGACTACTTAAACGGGTCAAACATAACTGAAGATATGAGTATGTTGCCTGAGATTGAGGTTAGCCAGGCTCTACGAAGACTAGAGGTGCAACTGAGCTTGGATGATGACATCCTCAAAGATTATACTCCAGCTGATGATCTAGGTGGGGATGCAGACATATATAAAACGCTGGATGATCAATATGACAGTAAGTATGCTGGATTGTCGTCTAATTCAAATGGCTTATCACAATACGACTCAGGTACAAACTTCTCTAATGTAAATTCATATTTGGTTTCCTTTCAGGCTGTTTTGTGTCATTTGATATGTTTAGACTACTGCAGCAAGGCTTTTTAGGCCTTCTCTTTGATTATAGACGATCCTACTACATGAGAGTGAGAGTGAGGGCTTTTGCACCAAAAATCAAATGACAAGAGCTTTGGTTGGGCTATTCCGGCCTAGGTTGCACTGATACGGATACGGGGACAAAAACGGGTACGGGATACGGCAAAAACAAAATTTCAAAAAACGGGTACGGCTCGGATACGGAAAAAAAAATCCATAAAAATGTGTTTTAAAAAATAAATTAATCCATACAGCACAACTTTAAAATTAGAATTTTCCTTTTTATTAGACTTTCAAATTTATGAGACTTTAATTGGAAAGCACTCCATAATAAGCTATCTAACCAAAAAAATAAATAAAAAGTTACACTGTACACTACCTTCAGCACATAACTAAAAACTAGGCACTAAATATAAAATAAAAATAAAAAGAAAAGATAAACAGCTGTACATAGAGTAAAAACTAGGAGTAATAATAAAAAGAAAAGATAAAAAGGGCGGGTCCACCATTTTGTTTTTAAAAATTAAGTTAGCCATCAATGACCTTCCTTCTACTCACTTCTTTCTTCATTTTCCTCCATTAATGGAATTTTAAGCTTTAATTAAATCTAAAAAACTTAAGAAAATAGAAAATTATTTCGCCTATAAAAACACGATCTAGATCGCGAACCATCATGAACCCAACGCGCCGTCGTCTCGCATTCCGTGTATCAATGCTCCGGCCGCCTTGAATCAGATCCGACTGTAGGAGAAACAAAATAAGAGTTCGAAAGTTTTAGGGCTTTTAAGATTTGGGGTAAATCGACAGTTAGGTAGGTAGATTATACTGATTTGGGTTTTTTTTTTTTTAAAAAATTGGGTGGGTTTCATAGGAAACGTCAGAAATTGGGCTTTTTCGTACCCGATACGTTTCCGATCAAGATGCTAAACGTCCCCAAATTGCCTTGGCGTACCACTTTTGTAAGGGACGGTTTGGGGACGTATTCTAGGCGTACCCGTACCGTTCCCGATACGTTTCGGGCACGAGAAACGGCACTCCATTGGCATACCCGTGCATCTTGATTCCGGCCCTCCCTTGGGATTGAGTTACTTTCTATAAATTTTAATTTTTGGAGTTCCATGACCCTTTTAATCTACCAACTCCAAGGTTGTTAACTAAAGAACTACTGATGTTATCTTCTTTTAAAATACTTCCTCCGTTAACCATTATCTGCAACTTTGGGGAGAGGAACGGACTCCAATGCAAAACTTCTTAATGGTGTTTAACAAAAAATAAGGGTATATCATTAATAGTTAATCAATCCAATTCTAAAAAAAAAAAAAAAAAAATAAATAAATTGAAAGAACAATCCAGCGCCCCAGCCACCGAAACCCACCGACAGAACCACCACCTCCACAAACCACCACCAAAACCCACCTACCAAAACCCACCCGCCAAAACCACCCACCGAGAACGACCTGCGAAAACCCATCTACGAAAACCACCTGCGAAAACCACCCACGAAGAACGACCACCCACCGAATTTTATTCACCGAAATCCACCAACCCACCAGAAACTAAACCCCCAACTCGAACCAGATTACGACCCACCCCAATTCGATGCCAAAACCACCAAAGAAACCGCCACACCCAACCGAATACCAGATCTTCTTCTTCGTCGTCTTCTTCTTCGTTGCCTCTTCTTCGTGATACCAGATCTTGATTGAGTTTGAAGGAGGAGGGAGAAAGGTAATGGGGAAGATGAAGAGGGTGAAAAATTAGGGTATGAATGTGGAGAAATTGGATGATTTTAAACTAGTTTGGTTGATTTTAATGAGTTATTGGGGGAGATGAATTAAATTTGATAGGAGTAGTAAGATTAATTAGGTTAGACTAGTAATTAATTAATTATGTTTTTAAGAATGTAATTGATGTTATAAAGTTTTAAGTAATGGCATTTTTGTAATTTTGTTAAGTTTTTATTTACTAAGTATGGAAAGGTTTGGAAATGTTGCACATAATCTTTAGCGTCCATTTTCGGTAAAAGTTGCAGATAATGGTTAACGGAGGTAGTAATACACTTTTTACTAGGATTGAGAATCCTGGTGTAGTTGTGAAGCTATTTATGGCACTTTAAAAGTATTCTACTAGAATTTAAATTATTATTTGATCTACCATCCTAAGGCTACAAGATAATCATTGTAATAGGTAATAGGTGTTGGGGGGGGGGTAGGGGGGTAGAGGTAGAAAGGGCTCTTTACGAGCATTCAACTTTATTGTTCTCACTGTTGCTCTCTGCCATCTTTCATTGACAAAATAGAAAACCAGACTTTTCTTTTGAGACTTTCGGACTTGACAAGATTACAACTAAAAAATTGTCTTAGGGCTTTTAAGCAAAGAAGCCTTGATTATTACTCATCCGAAAAAACGTAATAGGATTCAACTCATTTTCCATGTAAAAAAGCTCTTTTACCTTTTTCTAATATTCTTTTCATCCACTGTTATGCCCATTGCTTTATCATTCACAGTAGATATGATACATAACTTTTGAGAAGTGTATGATCGATCTTCTTTGGTTTAGGGGTGGAGGAATATAGATCAGTTTGCGATCTCAGAACTTGTCTCAATGCCAATTGAGGAGGTGGGCTTGGTGGTGCACTGGTGCATGACAATAAAACTAAAACCTTGAAGGCGTGATATCGCTGGATGACGCTAGTCTTTATTTGATTATTCCTTATGACCTTATCCAGAAAAAAGATCCTATTCCTCCCTCCACTTATGCCTAGTGTTATATATTCATGCCAATCTAGTTTCATTGTCATCATTTTTTTCCCTCCATCTAAGCCATCTTTGCCTCCTTAGGGCTCTTCTAAAACCCACATGGTCCCAACTCTCCACTTTCCTCACATCCACCAGTCATTGTCTCTTAGGCTCAAACCAACGAAGTCAGTTCTCTGTAATCTTATCCTCAACATTTACTCTAACATTGTTCAGTGTGTCCTCTTTTCGAATTCTATTCTTTAATATGGGCTTGATAGTTTTCCGTCAGCTTTGATGATTTTCCTAGTTACCTGATTCAGAATATTTGTGGCCTTGTCAACAATTGGTTGCTTTGGATGGTTGAATAAGTGCTAGGTTAGTCATAGTTATTTGTGTTAAGAGGCAATCCACATTTGGAATCCTTCTAGGAACCGGTTTTAATGAGGATTTCAAAGAAATTTGGGAAAGAGGTTATACTTTTTTTTATGGTTGCGAGGATAACGCTAATTCAACCATGTTTGTCTAGCTTCCCTCTAATACTTTTTTTTGGATATTCTCTTTTCAAACTCTGGTGGCAGTTGCAAGTAAGGTTGTGGTCTAGCCTAATGATATGAGGATCACTCATTTAGTGAGTTGAAGTTTGGTGTGTTGTTCGAAGGCTAGGGAGATTTAGGATTGGGGAAAATGGTGTAAAATATTATTGCTCCTGTGGTAAAATGGTTATGACGTTTTCCTTCTAAATCTTAGTCGCTTTGGCTAAGCTAATAGTTAAGGGATAGATTAAGCGGTTACAACCGCTCAAATGGCCTCTTTAGGTCGTTTGGAAATTTTTGCAAATTACCTTGGCCTCTATCATTTTGACACCCGACAGATTCAAATTTTTTCTGAAATTGAAGAATACTATATGAAATTTCAGATCATTTCGAGAAATTTCTTTTAAAAAATATAGTGGATGTAATAGATGTGTCTTGAGTCATAAAAGGTTGTCTCGCTCGGAATGTCAAGTCAACAAAAGGAGACATATCCATATTAGGATAAATTGATAGTTAAGAGGAAGAATTTATGGTTTAAACCACTCAAATAGTCTCTTGGGGTCACATAGCCTATGGGAAGCACCTCGACAACTATTATTTCCGATTCTAAAAAAATTAAAATTCTCTAAAATTGAAGTTTATATACGATTTTGGATCAATTATGTGGAAATTTTCCGTAACTAATAGTAGATGTAGTAGGTGTCTCTTGGTGTCATAAGAGGTTGTTTTGTGCAATGGACTAGCGTGCACAAATATGTATTAAGCGTAAGGTTGTGCGTTTGATTGATAGTAAAGCTCAAAGCTTGCAAAAGGGTTCCATGGCTTTAGGCCATGACTCTCAAAGTTTCACTTACAATTTTCTGGATGATCTCTCACTTGCTAGACTACTACTTCTTATACTACCAATGCATATAAATGGCAAACAAGCCTTAATTACTACCATTACTACTATTGGAATTTAACTACTTTAGTTCAATACAAACAAAAGACTAAAGCATCTTGTCCCCCTGCTGCACATCAACGGTCCTCTGCTTCCTTGTGCCTTGGCCAAATCAGGTTGTTGTTGTTGTTCAATTGCTGATTCTGTTTCTGCCTTCTTTTATATACCAACATCACGGGTGGTGTGTGCGAGTGCCTTGCAATACTCCCCCCCAAAGAAGCCACCTTGTCCTCAAGGTGGAAGTCCGGGAATCTCTCAATGAGCGTTGCGGAATCCTCCCATGTAGCCTCAAATTCTGGTATGTCTCTCCATTTAATCAGGACCTCCGTCCCCTCCTTACGGCCAGCCTTTGGTCTGACATCAAGAACATCTTCCGGCTCCACCACGAGCTAGCTCTAAATCCGGGGTAATCTGGCTGGTATGGTGGGAGAACTTGGCACCTCCCCGAGTGCCTTCTTCAGTTGAGAGACATGAAAAACCGGGTGAATACGACAATGATCGGGCAATGACAATTTATAAGCCACCTTGCCAATGCGTTGTAGCACTTCAAAGGGCCCATAAAACCTTGCTGCCAATTTCTCAAATGGTCTCTTGGCCAACGACTTTTGCCGATACGGTTGCAACTTAAGGAAAACAAAATCCCCTACTTGAAATTCAAGCTCTCTGCGCTTCCCATCAGCGTTTTGCTTCATGATTTGCTGGGCT